TCCTCTACCCTTCTCACACTCAGCCTTTGAATCTCGGATTCAAATTTTCAGAGTCAGTGTCTCTGTGAGAAGAAGATGGTCTCTCAGAGAGGGCAGGAGCTGAGCAGTCATTTTTTTCCAATTTCTGACCCACACTGGGTCCTTTCTCCCTCTCTGAGCTATGAAACCAATAAAAAAACTGAGAGCTGATTATACATGAAGGAAAGTTTATTCTTTGGCTGCAGAATAAAGAGGAGCCTAGAGATGATAACTTTCTGATGAGCTTCCCACCCAAACAAAAGATAAGGGAGCCCTTTTAAGAATAAGGGGGGAAAGTGGGGATTTAAGGAGAAGGAGGATTATCATGACCTCTGGGGAGAGGGTCAGGTTCATTCTGGAGATAAGGACCGACCTTCCTTCCTTCCTTCCTTCCTTCCTTCCTTCCTTCCTTCCTTCCTTCCTTCCTTTCTTTCTTTCTTTCTTTCTTTCATAGTGGAGATCACACCTAGAGTTTTCAGCATGCTAGGCAAGTGCTCTAACACTGAGCTACATCTCCAGCCCTTTTGTTTTATTTTCTTTAAGTCGCCCATGCTGGCTTGAACCCACCATCCTCCTGTCTCAACCTCCCGAGTAGCTGGGATTATACAGGCTCAAGGCACCATGTCTGACCTGGGCTGCTTTCATTTGATCTTTTCTTTTTGAGCTGATTTCAATCTGGGTCAGAAGGGGACCAGACGAAGCAAGATAATTACAATGAAGTGGAAATGAGTCTGGGGGTGAATAACAGGTCCACATGGCATCCTTTAGGCCTCAAACCAGTTTTGTCCAGTTTCAGTCTGTATCTAGTTTCACAGTAGCAGCCAAGGAGGTCCCAGATGTCAGCATGGTTGGCTAGGTGGATAATTTGGTTTGGAAGAGAGGACCAGTTATTAAAAAGGGTTGTTTCTCAGGTTCAAAAGGGTGTTTTCCTGGTGACATTTTCAGCTTTGTTCACATTCCCAGAGAATTCAATTTCCCCAGAGTCAGAGCCAGAAAACTGAGGGTGCTTCAAAAGCTCCTCTGACCTGGGCTTTCCTTAGGTGTACCTTATATTAGGTGTATCTTATCTTAGGTGTATCTTATCTTAGGTGTCTCTGGGAGCCTGCATTTCTTATCTATGTTGCTGTGTAATTTTCTCCACTTTACCATGGATCCTGTTAGTTAACTAGATCATAACTGCTCAAGGCAAAGGAATTTTTAAATTGTTTTCTGTTGTTCCAGATACATGCAGCTGGCTGTTAATAAATGCTCACTGAGCAAGTTTGTGTAGAGATTGTGCCTATAGCCTATCAGTAGGCAGTAGAGATTGTGCCTATTCCCCTATCAGTAGGGGAATGTGAGGACCAAAGGGGAGGGGAGAGGAGGAAAAGCTTTTGGTTTGGGGAAAGGGCAGAACCAGGTTTGGCTGGGGCCTTTTGCAGTTGTGTGTTGGGGGCTATCCAGGAAGAGATCTTCATCCTCCCTGTTCTCAGGGGAGCAGTGGGAGTGGGGTCATGTGGGTAGACTAATTTGAGGGTAGACTTGGTTTGGGCAGAAATGCTGACCTTGTTCCCTGTATTGTCCTCTGTGGTGAGTCATTTCTCTTGTGGAATGAATCTGAATCTGAGCTAGTACTTCAGAAAAGTGAATAATTGCATGCATTAAGCCGTGTAATCTCTCTATAAAAAATAACCATAAGAGATTGACACTCAGATTACTTGTATTTCACAGGTAGGACCAGAGGCCTACAGCAGCCAGAATGTCCCAAGTCTATCAAGTGAGAAGCAGGATTATGCCCAGGTATTTTCACCTCTAGCCTGATGACTTTGTTTGTTCGTTTCTTTTTCTTTTTCTTTTTGTGGTGCTGGGGATTGAACCCAGGGCCTTGTGCTTGCAAGGCAAGCACTTTACCAACTGAGCTATATCCCCAGCCGTATCCTGTTGACTTTAATTTTTTTCCTTTTTTTGTACCAGGAATTGAACTCACAGAAACTTAACCACTGAGTCACACCCCCAGCCCCAGACATTTTTAAGATTTCTTGTCTGACTTCATACCCTCTCTTTCTGACTTCCTTCTGGGAACTGCCCTTTCTCTCTGCCACATTTTAGCCACAAGGGGGCAGCAGAGGCCAAGGAAACTGGCTGAGGCTGCCTGGGTGCTTTTCCATTGGCCCAAGAATGATCTGGCATCCATGGAGCACCCTCTGGCTGGGTGCATATTGTTCCTTCCTCTCTGAGAGGGAGTTTCCAAACAGTTCCGGACATGCCCTCCTTTTAAAGTTATGAATTTTGAACATGCAGCTAACAAATATGTACAAGAGTTATTTGGTTTATAAAAACAAATATCACACCAGGAGAAGTAAGATTAAAGCTTTTATAATAGAAGTTCTAATGTCTTTTTGCCTTCCCTTTTGCCCCCCAGGTCCCTGGAGCACCATAAGTGCTGGTGCCCCCAACTCTTTTAGATATAGGCTGTGCCTTGGGGGCACACTTGTTTGTCCACGTGACCCTATGACCTTGGATATCTTCCACATGTTGTAGAGGCGCCATCCCTCAGCTCTAGAATGAGGAGAGTGAGAACCACCTCATGGTATTGTACTAAATCATCATGGGAATGAAATTTAAAATGTTCCAGGTAAAATGACCCTCAGTGAATGGTGTGCCTAAGTATTTCTTGGTGGTTATTAGAGAGCAGAGGCACTGGCTGTGCCTGGGGGAGGAGTCTCTGTGATAGGAGAGGAACAGGGTATGCAGCATCCTATGGACTCTTAGAATGTGCCTCTTGGAGATGGACAGTGACTCTCCTGCCCTGGGCCCCCCTCTACTTCTCTGAGGGACAAAGGTCAACCTTTGAGACCTTTAAACCTTTTTCTACGACCCAGTTCTGAAATCCCTCCACTGGAACTCACCTGGTTCACCCTTGTCCATACATGGGCCTGACCTACCTGAGATTGGGAGGGTCAGTAAATTCTTCACAGGTCACTGATGAGTCACACATATGGTCAGTGCCTGTGCTGGCTCTCTGCAAGTGATCTGACATTGCAGTAACTGGGGAACATGTTTCAGATACTCTGGGCCCATGTGTCCATTCTGGTGTCTCATCTCCTGATAGGTAGGACCAAATGCCAGGCCCTTCCAGCCTCTCTTTTTTAAAAAAACATTTTTAGTTGTAGATGGACACAATACCTTTATTTTATTTATTTTTATGTGATGCAGAGGATCGAACCCAGTGCCTCACATGTGCTGGGCAAGAGCTCCACAAAAGCCACACCCCCCAGCCCTGCTCCTTCCTTTTTTTATGCCAGCTTTCTCTCAGTCTGCTGTCTTTCCTTTTAAATTTTTATTTATTTTTAGTTTTTTATTAATTTAATAGAATTCACTAAATTTTCTATAGGTATGTACAATTTTTATTTCTCTGGCCTCACCCCCTTACCCTTTTCTATCTCAGGGCTTGAGTGAGAGGGATACTTTACCTCCCTGGAATCTCAGATGAGGAAGGGGGTGGATTGTTCATGCAGAGGGTGGTGGGGAAGGTGCTCAGCCAGGAGGGCTCAGCTGCTGAATTCAGAGTGGGGCTGGGCCAGGCCCTGGCTCCACTAAGAGAATGGGAGGCATAAGGGGGTCTCAGCCACTTCTGGTTGGATATTTCAGTTTTGGAGGTGACAACCTCACCTGGGAGGGGTCTCCCCACCAGAGAGGCAGATGGGCAGACTCAGAAGAAGTTCATTGCACAGCCGTACCACTGGGACTCTGCTCAGTGGGCTACCAGGTCACAGGGCAGCCCATCAGCCAGGTTCATCCTGGATAAAGATTGGAGGAACACTTTGAAACTGAAACAAAATTCACCAACTTGTGTGTCTTTTTCCTTTTCATTTTTTTTCTAGAAATAAGCCAGAAAACAGTTCTTTAAACCTTTTCCTGCAGTAGAAGGTAACCCAGTGAACTCATCTTAGCAGTGTCAAGATAAAGAGATGATCCTGTATTCTAAGAAAAGGGGTTAAAGGACTATGGATGTGGTTCAATGGCAGGGGGCTTCCCTAGCATGAGTTCAATCCCCAGTATGAACAGAATGGGGTGGCGGGTTGGGTGAGTGAAGTACTTTATATCAACTCTCACATTTTTAGAATTTTTAGGGATTTATCTGAAGCTATTTAGAAAGTACTTGATACAGGTAAAAGATAAGACTAATTTTGGTTATAAAAGACAGTATATATTAACCTCATTAGTATTAGGATAATTTATGTTTATACAAGAAAAATTATTTGTGGTTCAGTGAATAGTGTTTCTTTTCAAAGCAGGTGAACAGTGATCCTGATGAGATGGGAGAGGACAGTGCTGAGGTTCTGTGTCCCCTGCCAGTGCTGGTCAAGGATTCTGCCAGTGTTCTTTAAGGAGACCTGACCTGCACTTTGTCACTGCTTCCGCCCCCTCCTGCTCAAATGGAGGGCATAGGGCAACCTTGGGAAGGAGAATGCTCAGGTCAGGGTGAGATAAGCTTTCTGGCCCTGTAGTTGAGGCAACTGAGAGTCCAAGGTCCCTTTCAGGATCTTGCTCACTTGAGTCACCTGGGGCAGGGGGCTGGGCTGGGCTGGAGATGTGGAGGTGGGAGCAGTCTCCTGGCACAGCTAGCCCCTCCCTCATCTAGGAAGTTACTAGATTGATGTTACCAGATGGCAGGACTCATGGCTTTATCTCTGCATTAGTGATAATGAGACCCATAAGTAAAATTTACGTAGCACAGCTCTTGATAGGGATTCAGTATAATTTTGTTTTCTTCTTTTTGTAACATGTCCCTAACATCTCTAGGCTTTAGGGAGTCTACCCTTTAGGCAGGGATTGGTGGTGGCATTCTGGGTTTGTTCTGCAGTGTTCCAGGAAAATGGTGGGCACCCTCTTTTTGCAGCTCTGCTCTGCTGCCTTCTTCCTGGTAAAGGGAGCAAAGTCCAGAGGGCAGGGCACACTCTGCCCAGGCTCCTTTTGCAAGCTTTCGCTTTAGATGGTGGGAAGGAGTGAGTGAGTGGTTGCTCCTCTGACTGGGAGGGCTTAGTGGGGCCCCCAGTGTCAGAGACTCTGCAGAGATCACTGCAGCTTATGTTTAGCTCTGCTTTTTCCCTATTTCCTGGGAACCAACTGCCTCTTGGAGATGAGGAATTTGTGGCCCCAGTGTTGGACTGAGGCAGAGGACTGGGTTATGTGAGCAGCTTGGGGCAGGTGCAAATTCTGAGGGCATTATTTGTGGTCTTCTGGGGTCCTTGTGACTCTGAAATTTCTCCAGCTGCTGTGTTTAGAGATGCTGCAGGAAGTCACAGCCTTTCATAGGTGGGAGAACAAAGAAGCAGGTAAGTTGGCTTTGAAGACACCTGTGACCTAAGAGGAGGAATCTAGGGAGAAGCTGGTGGCAGGAAGGAGCAGAGGATGAGGTGGTGTGAGAGGCAGCGGGGGCAGGGGTAGGTGGGACAGTCTTGTTCTAGGAAGACCCAGGAGAAGCTTAATGAGGGTTGTTCCCTTATTCATTTGTTATAATGACATTTCTTTAACGTTTTCTTGGACCAGGCCCTGTTTTAATTACATGTAGTGACTATAAATCACACCATTTTCATTACAAACTTGGGAGGTAGATGTTGTGACTATGTCCATAAGACAGACAAGGAAACTGAGGCCAAGAAGGTCACAGTTAGAGTGGCTGAGCCTGGAGGGCAGCCTTGAAGTTGGCTCCCAGAATTTGTTCTTCCCAATACCACAGACTACCTTCTCTCTGGTCCTTCCAAATTGTAGGTGGTTTGGGGGTCTTTTCTCTCACCAGGGCTCATTATCTCTACACTCTGTCTCCAGGAAGGGTCCCTTACCTCTCAGGCAGAGATCTTTCTCAAAGAAAAAGAAGGCAAGGACAAACCTGTTGGTGGGGAAGGGCTTGGCACCTGCCAAATGAAGCACAATTTCTAAGACCACAATGGAAGGGACTGGGCTGAGATTCAGGTTCAGGTGAACTCCACTTCTTAAAAGGCAGGGCAGGGTTCTGGGCTCCTGTGATGGGACCACAGCCTCCTTGAGGATGTGTCTATCTCTGACACTGAGCAGGCCCAACCTGGGCATAATTATGGGGCAGAAGAAGAGGCAAGCAGGAGCTTGCATGTTCTTCATAATGGAGACCCTGGGTCTGGGCCCTCCTTTCTGGGGGTCATGAGTGGTGTGGAATAACAGAGAGATAGAGGAATGCCTTCCATCACAGAGCTCCAGGTATAGGGAGAGAAAGAGCCTGGTGACCTGGGCCTAGTAGAGCTGCCCTGTGGTTGGGGTGGGAAAGGAAGGAACAGTTTCTTACCAGGTAACTCTAATGGTTTCCTGGTCCCACAGTCTTCCCAGAAGAGCTGGAAGGAGCCTGGGCTCAGCTGTTTGTCAGTGTCTGGGTTGTGGGGGGCCTAGCACCCTGTTAGTATGATGTGCCAACAAGAAATGCTTTGCTCCAGCAGGGGACTGCTGTCCAGCCCTGAGCCCTGCTCTCTATGCTGAGGTGCTGGAGCTTTGGGCTGGACCTGCCTCCTGCCTGCAGGTCTTGTCCCTCATCCCCATCTCTCTCCCCAGCTCTAAAATATGGAAGGGCGCTGCAGTCACTCCTTGCTCTGCTGTCTCACTTCCCTGCTTCTCCTTGTCCAGCTGTCCACAGGTGAGTGTCCCCATTTGTCTTCCTTTGTGGTTTTAAAAGGCAAGATATAAAAACATTTGAAAATACATTTTCCTCATTTTTTTTTTGTTTTCTTGCCTTTTTTTTGTGCTGCAAGCATTCATTCATTCATTCATTCATTTTATTCCTGAAATATTAATGAAATGTTGATTGTTAGGTGCTATTCTATGAAAGAATCAGACAGAAATTCTGTCATAAAGTTTACCTTCTAGCAGGAGACAGTGAGTAATAACTGCAACTAGCCATAGATGACTGTGATGGGAAATGCAGCAGGGCAGGGTGTGGGCAGTCAGAGTCATGGGAGGCAGGTGTGGGCAGGCAGCAGTGTTCAGTGAGGTGGTGTGTAGATGGGAACATAACCCTGGAGAAGGAGGAGTGAGCTGTAGGACCATTTGGAAGGAAGGTTCCTGCAGGGGGAGGAGCCTGTGCAGAGCTGGCAGTGTGCTGAGGTGTGAGGAAGCTCAGAGGCCAGGGTTGGCTGGATTTAAGCCCATGGGGAGAAAACTAGCAGGTGAGTTCAGAGGGGTTTTGGGAAGGAGGGTCCACCTTGTCAGGCCTAGGGAGAAGTGGGAAGCCCTGTGGAGGCTTTGAGCAGAGCAGCAACATGGATTAACTCACGTGTTATAAGGATCACTGAGGTCAGGAATCAAAGTCATCCTCCAGTTGAAATTTAATGGTGACTGAGACTAGAGTGGAGCAGCACAGGGCTTGAGAGTAGCTCTTTGGAGGCGTTGCAGCGTGTCCTGCAGAGGAGTCACGTGGTAGCCTCAGAAGCCCAAGAGCACCAAGGGGGTGGAGAGTGAGGTGAACTTGCTTCTTGAACATGCAGTGATGGGTGTTTCTGTGAATGACGGGAGCAGGATTTTCACAGCAGACTCTGTGTTTTAAAGTGCATATGTATTACTCTCCTCCCTCAGTGGAGGAGAAAAATATAGATTGAAGTAAATAATTTAGAATAGGAAGAGGGGAATTTCCAGGGTGTGGCTGAATGACCAGAGTGTGACCTAGGCCACATGTATGCTCTTTGTCAGTTTTCAGGTTTGTCCTGAGACAGGGGTTAGTTAGACCTGGGGTTCCCAAATAGTTCCCAGGTCCCAATGTGTGCTCCTCAGTCCACCCTTGGAACTCCTTGCAAATGCACATTCATTGGCCTACCCCAGATCTAGTGGATGAGACACTCTGGAGGGGGGTCCAGTGATGTGTGCTCTATAAGGCAGCCTTGTGGTTCTGATGCATGAAAGTTTGAGAATCACTGAATTAGAGAATTCTTCATGGGAGGGCCTGGGACCAGGAGCAGAAGACAATGAGGCAGTGTCTTTGGCATCATTTCTGGTCACATCATAATGGTAAGAAAACATCTTCCAAATCCATCATACTTCTAGGGTCATCTCATATGGCCCCTGCCCCTGGTTTCCTGGCCTTCCTACCTGATGGTATGTGTTCTTGTTTTTTGGTCTGTGTTTCTCTAGCTTTCTCCTCACTATGTCTCTGTCCACAGAGCAGTTCCAGGTTGTTGGCCCTCGACACCCCATTGTGGCAGTGCTGGGCGAGGATGCCATACTGCCCTGCTCCCTAGTCCCAGCCATGAATGCAGAGAACATGGAACTGGGGTGGTTCCGCACCACATTCTCACAAACAGTGTTCATCTACTGGAACCAACGGGAACAGACTGAGGAGCAGATGGCTGAGTACAGAGGGCGGACCTCACTGGTGAGGGGCTGCCTTACTGAGGGGCATGCTGCCATGCACCTCCGCAAGGTCCGGGTTTCTGACAATGGAATGTACACCTGCTTCTTCAGACATGGAGGCTTCTATGAAGAGGCCGATTTGGAAGTGAAGGTGGCAGGTTAGTTACTTGATGTCTATTCTGGAGATCTTGGGAGTACTGGGTTTGATGGGAATATCAGGGATCATCTAATTTAGCCTTACATTTTATAGGTGAAATGGAGAAAAAATGACTCATCTTTTATTAATTGATTCAATACAAACATTGTATAAGGAGCATCTAAAATATTTTGGAACTTGTCCTGTGCACCAGAGATATATCAGTGTAACAGAGATCTCAGCAGTGAGGAGTTTAGAGACAAAGGAAGAAAAATTATAAGAAAGAATTCAGTACAAGACGGCATAAGGTGATAAGTACTTATGACAAAAGACCAAGTAGATTTAAGAAATGGGCTCAGGATGTGGGCTGGGAAGTTAGGACAATCTGCAGTGTTATATAGGGTTTTGGGCAGAGTCTTATTGACAGTCTAAACAAGTCTCAAAGGAAGTAGGTATTTAGCCAGGGGGATATCTGGGGGGCCAGAGTTTCATGCAGATGGAGCACCTGGTATGAAACCTTTGTGTTAGGAGTATGGTTGTTTATTCTGAGTATAATGACGCCATCATGGTTGGTAGGAGGAGTGAGGAAAGTGGCAATACTGGAGTAAAGAGATGGTCCTGAATTAACACCACTCACAGATGTAAAGATGAGGTCATTAGGAGTGGACACTTGGGCTAGCACAAGAGTCCTGGATGTTGATGGGCTGGAAGGTGAAAAGGCAGAGGGCAGACAACATGGTGATTGTGGCTACAAGTGGCTACTTTCATTTGACCAGATAGTTCTTGGGGTTGAGGCCCTGAGGGTCTCAGATAATGGAGTTTGGGGAGAACTCCTGGAGAGGAAGGCAGTTACCAGGTCAGTAAAGGCTTTGTGTGCTGTGTTATGGAGTTTGGATGCAGAGTAGGGGGAATCCTAAACAGAGCCATGCTGGGAATGCTCATGTTGGCAGCTGTGAATGGATGGATGGGAGGTGAGCAAGGAGGCCTGGAGTGCAGTTATGATGTGGAGGGAATGAGTGCCTGACCTGAGGCATGACAGTGGGGTGGGGGAGGAGGGGTCAGACAGGTTTAGAAACTAGAGTCAACTGAATAGATTTGTGGGTACAACGTTTGGAAGGTGAGGAGAAGACTTCAGAGACTTCCAGTGTTTTATTTGAACTATTTGTTGTTTAGTGACAGGACTATTGATAATTATGTGTCAGTTATACTGCTGTAATAATGCTGTGTAACAAACAGCTACAATCTCAGATGCATCTGGCAATAAAAATGTATTTAATTTAGGCACTAAGGGAGTTCAACTAATTGGGGCTGAACTTGGCTAATCTCACTTGGGTTTATTCATACATCTTTGGTCATGTTTCAGAAATATAATTAAAAACAAAATCTCCCATGCTAGGAGAAAACACTTTTATTAGTGAATAAGCATCAAACCAGAGTGTGAAACATATTTTGATGATCTGTGAACGGATCACACAACCAGAAAAGAATTTCATCTTTCTTTTTAGAGCCAAGCATATATAATCTTTTGTATACTTGTTTCAAAGATGAAGAATAACAAATCCTCAATAGGGCTCAAAGCACTATTGTTCCATATAACTCATCCTAAATTTACCTGGCAGTTTTGGAGACCATCTGTGTCATCTAACAGGCTTTATCTGGAAGCAAAATAAACTCCTCCAGCTTTATGACAGGAAGTAGTTTACAACTTGGAGCAAGATGCCCTCATAAGTTAGGCTCCTACTTTTCCACAGAAAAGGAGGCAAAGGGTTTCTATCTTACCTGATGTTTACATTTCAAAGAAATGGTTCCCAGGTTCTTGAGAAAGGCATTCCTGAGTTACAAAGCTGGCAGAAAACCTAACCAGTTTTCAAAATAATATATAAACATCTTAAAAGAGGAGAAAGTGTAGATTTGTAACTGAAAGTTCCTAAAGCAAATGGTATAAGAAAAAGGGATAGAATCTTCTTCTTCTTTTTTTTTTCAACAGGGAGAATTAAGCTTTTTACTTGTAATTTTTATTTGTTCTTAAGTCAGCTGAAAAGTTCACCAGGTGCACCTTGGTTGTGTGTGCTCATGTTTCAGGTGGTCATGTGTCTGACCTAGGGCAGCTGTAGCAGGTTGACCAGGCAATGTTACATGAGCCCATCCTCCACTGGGCAGCCCAAGATTGTCCTCCTGTGGAAATGGCAGAGAGTAAAACCAAGGTGCAAGTGCTTTTCAAACCTCTGCACTAGTCACATTAACTAATTTTTCATTGGGTAAATCAAATCCCAGGACTGGGCCAGAGGCAGAAGGTAAAGGCAGTAAAAAGATAGTAGAAATGGGAGAACTGGCTTTGAAGAAGGGTGAGGAATTGGGTTATTTTAATCATTTTATCACAAGTGGTGCAAATTTATGAATTCAGTTGTGGAGTTTTGAGTTTCAAGTGTATATGAGGAAACCTGGTAAAAATAACTCATGGGAACATGGGTATAGGGGAAGAGAATTCAGGAAGAATTTTGGAAGTGATACACACAGAGAGGCAGATGTCCCAGGACAGTGTATGAGGTGAGAAGACTGGAGAGTCAAGGAGGGAGCCCTGAGACCAAATTCTTCCTGTTTCCTTTGGGCCTCATGGTTGGGGAGAAGAGCCCACTGCCCTGTGTGAATCCCTGTGCTCCTTCCTTTTCTTCTCTCTTCCCCTAGAACTCCAAGAATTCAACATGAATATCTCCCCTCAAGTTGTGTAATTTGTAGGCAACTCTGGGGTCTCAGGGCCCAAGGTGGCCTCCTGGGGCTCCACAGCTTCCTTCCCACAGGGATGGGCTCTGCCCCCCAAGTGCACATAGAAGGGCCAGAAGAGGATGGAGTGCGTGTGGTGTGCAAAGCCTCAGGATGGTTCCCAACGCCCCAGGTGCAGTGGAGAGACCTCAGTGGAAAAAAGTTTCCAGCGCTTTCTGAGGCCCACACCCAAGACACTGAGGAGCTGTTTAGTGTGGAGGCCACTCTGGTGGTGAGAGACAGTTCTGTGGGGAATGTGACCTGCTCTGTCCTCAACCCTGTCCTGGGCCAGGAGAAGGCCATGGCTATTTACATCCCAGGTCAGTGCTGCTTCCCACTCCCAGCAGAGCTGTGGGGAGGGCTGGCCTCTCTGAGTGTGCTGGCTCTCCTGGGTGTGCCCCTGACCTGCTGTCTGCCTGGGCCACAGAGCCCTTCTTCCCTCAGGCTTCTCCCTGGAAGCCAGCATTTGCTGTGATCCTGACCGTGCTGGGGCTCCTACTCTTGGGGGCTAGCTATTTAAGCACCAAAGAACATTCCAGAAGGATGCAGGTGAGGCAGGAAAAGGAGGATCTGCGGCGGATTAAGGAGGAGGAACAGCAGGCAAAGGAAGAGGCACTGAAGACCATTGGTAAGACCCCACAGGGCAAGTGCAGACCTGGTGGTGAGTGGGACAGCTGACAGGGGCCAGAGTCTGAGGTCTAGCTCTCTAGGGAGATCCAGGGTCCTGGGACCAGTGTAGGTGACTGAGGAGATCAGAGAGGACAGACTGGTGATGTTGGGTGGGTGTGTAGGTAGAAATTCTAGCATCAATATTTTTTCTTGGGTTTTACGGGCACACAGTCTTTTCTTTTCTAGGGGATGGGCGTTCACACTGGTTTTATTTTCTTTCAGATGAACTCCAGACAGATCTCAGTAAGTTCTGCTTTCCTGATGAATTTTCTATGATTTGATGGTAGTGGACTTTCTAGTTCCTACCTCTTCTCATTTCTGTGTTGTTTTTTTAGATCAGAGGAAAGCTGCTTATCTGTCCGGTGAGTGACTCTCCTGGTATCCTTGGTTTTCTTATCCTGCCTGTGATCTGGTGTCCCCTTTTCTTGTTTCTATCTAGGCACAGACCTGTGGGTCCCCATCCCTGGGAGGCTAATCAGAAGCTAGTGGAAGCCAGAACACTGCTCCCTGGGCATTCCTAGATCTGGGCTGCTGTTTCCTACCTAGAGCTTGGAAACATGGGTGTGATGGTGACCCCTGGTCTGTCATGTATTCTGCATTTTATTTCAACCCTGGCTTGCCCATTATATTGTGAAAGAAGCCATCCATGAATTTCTTGAGGTCTTCTGTAGGTATGGCAGCCAGGGAGATTTTAGGTTTAACCTTGGAAACTATCCTTGGCTCTTCCAGGCAACAGATTGCCCAAGACACATGACCTTTATCTCATTCCTACTAGGAAGATTTCTCATAGTAATTCTGGGGATGGGTGTAACTCGTTGGGAACCAGACAGCCCACCTATAACTTTTTTTGGTGAAGAACATTCTATGATCTAAGATCCTTTGATCTTCCCCGATATAACAGAAACCAAGAATGGGCTCCATTTTACCTTTTTAGTATAAAAGCTCGATCTGTATGATTGGCTAGCCTGTCCTGTCCCCTCTTTCTGAAAGTATTTTCTGTGTCCAGTGGGTTTTTTCGTTATTTCATGTTTCTTAGCTTTTATTTTTCAGCCAATTCATTCCACTGAGGAGAACCCCATTCCCATCACTGGTGCGGGATGGGTGTAAGCATATTGTTTTTTCACCTTCAATACATCTAGCTATTGGTCTGCTTCTAGAGGCTTAAAAGCAGATACTAACAGGGCGGGCGTGTGGGGGTTGTGGCTTAGGGGTAGAGAGCTCACCTAGCATGTATGAGGCCCAGGGTTGGATCCTTAGCACTACATAAAAATAAATAAATAAAATAAAGGTATTGTGTCCATCTAAAACTAAAAATATTAAAAAAGGCAGATACTAAGATATCATTAAATGATCCATATAAGGAAATGGAGTCATTGAGTTTAGGAGTGTGGCCTTCTGTTCATCTCCCAAAAAATCACCCTCCAGGGATTATGTTTTCTCGAGCTCCCAAAGGTCCTAATCCAAGTGGGCTGCTCTCCACAGGTGGGAATGTGGTGGAGTGAACCAAATATTTCCTGAAATAGTGGTTCTTATTCTCTAGAAACATTTCACCTGTGAAAAATTGGGCATTTTTACTGCAGAACTCACTTCACATTCCTGTCTTTAAATCATTCTTCATTTTTGGTAATTTCCCAAATGTCTTTTAAGATTTTTATTTTATTTTTTCATTTGTGGTGCTGAGTTGTGAACCTGGCACTTTGTGCATGCTAGGCAAGCCCTCTACCATGGGCTACATCTCCACCCCTCTCCCAAATATATCTTTGCTAGAAAAAGCCTTGATATAATAGTGCCTTCTGATAACTGTGGAATGATTTATATTTTATTCTCTCAAATATTTTCACAGAGTATAATTTTTATCCTTAGCAGCAAAACCGAATAAAGAAAGATAGAATTTGGATTTTTATGAGCTTTGAGGCAGAAAGTTTCCTGACAGAGAGGAAGCAGTGGGACCGTGGTAGAAGTTGGCCTGTAAAGTAGTCGTCTTGATCTGTGGTCCAGGGAATTTCCCACAATACCCTGTGGTCCCTGCATACTGCAAGAGGCCATCTCCTTTCTGGCTCTCTCCTCCTGTGGGTAGTCTCATCTTTAGAATGGAGGGGAGGCCAGGGCAGGCACATTCATGCTGAGCAGGCTTGTTTTAGCTGTGGTCTCACCACTGTGTGTTCCCTTTCAGCCTGGAGGAAGGCCCCCCTGTATGCAGGTAAGTGACTCTGATGTGTCCTTGGCCTTCCCTCCTCCAGGGTCTTCCTCTGTCCTTCTGTGCAGTGGCCTCCACCCAGGATGGAATGGGTTTTCCTGTTCTCTCTTCTCTAATTTGTTTCCCACCCCTCCCAGTAAACACTTTTAACTTCTCTTGGTTTTTTTTTCCTTTCATATCGTCACACATTAATCTGTCCCCTGCCCAAACTAACCAAAGCCAAGCACAACAGGAAAGCAAAATTCTCCTAAATGGAGAGAAAAATGATTGTAACTTGCATTGGAAGACCACAGGGACTTTTCTTTGGGATTGGATCATAGAACTCATCTCACATCCTGTCTTTAAATTATTCTTTATTTTTCGTAAACATTTCTTTTTGGTTGTAGGTGGACACAACATCTTTATTTCATTTTTATATGGTGCTGAGTATTGAACCCTGTGCCTCTCGCATGCTAGGCAAGCTCTCTATAACTGAGCCACAATCAAACTCTCAATCATTCTTCATTTTTGGTAATTTCCCTAATGTCTTTTTTAATTTTAATTTTGTTTTCTCATGTTGTGGTGCTGAGGAGTGAACCTGTTCTAGGCCCATCCTCCCCTGCAGGTTAGTGTTAGCTGTAGCCCCTGAAAACATTGTGTTTGACTGGTATTTGTTGTTGGTGTAGTGACACTGGAGAGTTCAGCTGTGAGCAGAGCCTGCATGGAGCAGGGTTGGAACTATGTAAATAGGAATTGCTGGTCTCCATGAAATTTCAGAAATTATATTTTACACCTTGGGACTTATATCTTCCTAATGTGGGACCTTGATTCTGTATTCCCTTTACCCCAGATTCCTACCCTTTGGGTTCAGGTTTGGTTTTCTTATTTCTTCCTGGTCCTCGGGATATAGTTCTTCTCTCGGCCACCTTCTACTCTGACTCGCTGTCCTAGTTGGGTTTCTTCTAAGCACTTTGGTTGCTGAAAAATGAGATTCTGGTGTTCTGAATTTGGGGTCCAGGATGCTTAGGGGGGTTTGTGAACTACTTAAAATGATATGCAACATTCTGTGTTTGTGTTACAGGAACAAAATGCAAGTTAATGTTCACAACAATTTTCTCTGCTTTAAAGAGAACTTTGCTTTGCTTGTTGGGCTTGGTCTTTGATTTTCTTTTTAATGTGTGAAGATCATAAAAGGAGGAAGCTGAAGAGTTTAAAATTGTTTACCTGAGAAAGGGTTGGGAATAAATCAGAGAAGAAAGGATGAGGTGGGACGAGAGAGGAGATGACAAGGAAAGTAGAGTGCCCAAGATTCATAATGAAATTTTGGGTGTGCTGAAGCAGTGGGCGTTGGAAAATCTCATACAAGGTGGTTTGAGTTGAGTGTGAAGAGGATTTGCAGGTTCTTTGTGTGCATGAAATGTGACCAACTTCTTGATACATCTTTGAGAGGGTTCAATGAATACTTGTGTGTGTGTGAATTCTATTAAGCCAGTTCTGAGTAATTATCTTATTGAGTTTGCCTGTGATAATGAGACCACCTCCTCCTTCCAGTAGCAGTTAGGACAGGCATATGATAAGGCAGTTTCCAATGCAATGAAAGATTATCCAGAGGACTCTTTAACTCTGGGGGTTAGTTTAGGATCTGTGCCATCTGAATTTGTATAATCTTCCCTTTTCCTGCTCTTGTTATTACTTTTTGACATCAGGGATATGGACTGTGAGACACAGAGAAGGGTGAGCCATGGCATCAAGGAGGCTTTGGATTCAGATGTTTGAGGAACACTCTTTGAGAATCCTAATGATTTTCTTGCACATATGTTTATTAAAAAAAGAAGGATCAAATAGTCTTTTTTACCATTTCCCCATTCTCTGCTGAATTAATGTCTATATGTTTTCATGTATAACTTGCATACTCTTTTATTTTGTAAGGATAAACACCATTACTATAGTAGAATTAACACTTTCATATTGAGAGGTACATAATGTGAGGTGGAAAAATGTCTGATCTCATCTTGTTCATGAAATTGTAAAAATGAGTCATATATTCAAATTTTCTTTAGGAATTATGTGAAGAGTGCATTAAGGCACATAACATCGTACTTTTTTGGAAATTCTCAAAAGTTTTTTTCTTTCACTTTTTTTCTTTTTCTCCCCTGTCTGCTTCCTTCTCTTTTCTTCTTCTTCTAATATGTCAGTTATTATATGTAAAATTATAATAGGATACCAACTAATGTCTTGGTGAAAAATGTACAAAATTTACTTTTCTCCAAGGGTCATCTGGGTCTGCTCAGCCATTTTATATTATCTAGTTTCTATGAAGAAGCTCAACAAAGATGGAAATACCAATGTATGTGATTGAACTTGTATTAGTGGTTATGGGGAGCACAACTTTAAACACAAATTTTTAAGAAAAAATGTTGTTTAGTTATTATTTTAATTATTCTAATCTTGTTCCTGAGGCTCTGCCCTGTTGGAAGCAAAAGCTTTCCAGTTGAATACATTTTGGAGTGTATGACATATATAGACTTTGCTTTGGTCAATGACCTTTCTATCTTCTTTCCTAAAGGGAGTATGGAGGTTGGAGGAGACTTATGTGGCCTTGGGACAGTGGGCGACCATGTGTTTTCTTTTAGTTATTTCAGGTCCTCATCATCAGGAGTCTAGTGTGAACTGGTTCATAAGATCCTGGGTTGGGTCTCCTGAGAAAGGGTCTCAGTTTCTCATCTCATGCTTGGTCTCCCTTCCCCTGACCCTGAGGTAAAGTCCAAGTTCTGTGTCACTTATTCCTGGTTGCCATTGGGCTTTTTCCTCTGAACTTCAGACCTTATCTGGTTCACTGACTCATATGTCTCTTCACCATCTAGCAGAGCATGTGATATTTTCTGGGTCCTCAGCATCCTATGTGCAGGAGACAGGGAGTGTCATGTTTTCTGCAAGCACATTTCTCTGCCAGTGCTTTCTTTGTTCCATGTTGGGTGTGTCACCTATGTAGGCATATTAGTTTTCTATTTGCTGCGAAATTACTACAAACTTTAACCAACTCAAATATATTATTTTATATCTTTATAGGCCAGAAGTTCAAGGAAGTATGAACAAGGCTGTGTTCCTTTCTGGAGGCCGTTGTCTTGCTCAGTTTCTAGAGGC